TCAATTTATTGATTAAAAAAGTATCAGAACACCAATTAACGTCCTTCTCAGTCATTTAGACATTCGAAATGACCAATGACTAGTCATTTGTCATTTGAGTCATCAGGTCATTTCAAGTCATTTACCATCCCTGTACTCGAATATACTTGCCGGACAAACCTGGACAAATGGGATTGCCCGGTCAAGTCTAAAATCCCACGTAGTAAACCCGGACAAATCCTAATTCCAAATCCCAAGTTATCAAATCCCAAACTCCATCCCAAATCCCATCTCATGTCCCAAACCTCAAATCTCATTATCGTTATTCTTAGTAAATTATATGTCCCGTACTTGATTTTCAAGGCAAAGACCCATATATTAAGAGCCTATACGTACTATATATACATATCTTGTGCGATATAACAATTCTACCTCATCTGCAATGTGATTTCACACAATTTGTACAGAATAAATATCATAATGTTCTAAAATGTCATTTTAGATAACTTGCACGATATTATATGATATAATTATAATCTTGTATGAATATCAATATGTTAAATAACACTCACTAGGTTTATCTTGTTCGAAAACTTGAGATTTGAGATATAGGATTTGAGATGGGATTTGGGATTTGGGATTTGGCCAGAGTTTGGTATTATGACAGCCCAAATAGGGTTTGTCCGGTTTGGGATTTGGGATTTTTCCACATGGGATCTTATGTTTATTATGATCAGTGCTAAGAGTATTTATGTAATCGATATCTGTAGCCTCTATATAAATAATATCATTTTTGATACATTGAAAAAAACCGGATACGTACGAGTAATGTGCGGTTTACATTAATACCCATATGGAAATAGTTAAATCTAGGTGCGTTAGTGGGAAAAAGGATAAAGATTTATAGTTTGTGTGGCATGTATATACTCGAAATAACGCGCAGGTGGGCGTTATTTCGCGCTTGTACGGTAAGTAAATCTTTTGAATATGGTTACTTTTCAAAATTTTATCGATATGCAATAGTCATTTTTGATCAACAAAAATGACACTAAATTTGATATTGCAATAAAAATAATATTTGGTCAAAATGTTATCAAAATTCTCTAGAGGCCCTGCGCTGGGGTAGTCAGTGTTGGCATATATTGATTGGAATTGGAATATTTATCTAATTGGAATTTGAACATTTGGACTAGTCCAAAATATTCCAATAAAAATTAGGACTGGTTCATTAAATTTAGCCAGTTAGAATTTATTACGTGATAACATTTTATCCGACAAACTCATATTATCATGAAAAACTTTCTTTCTATTATTTTTTTTCATGTGTTACGATGTAATTATGTTTTTCCAATATTCAAAAAAAAAAAAACTCAGCGAGTGACTCCCTACCAATCATGATCATAAATTGTCGGAAACACCATTATTGGACAGAAATAAAGTATACTTACTTTTCGGGACACTATCGAAAAGCTTTAACAATTCTACATGGCTTAAAATAAGAAACTATATTAATGTGATCGATATATACGTAAAAATTTTTTTAAAATATTTATATAGATATATCTTTGCAACATAACATAATACAATTAAATAAATTAAAATTAAAATTGAACAAATTGGTATTGGACTATATCAATAAATAAATAATAAAATTTGGATATTGTCCAATGCCAATGGTTTCAATATGTATTGGAATTTTTTGGATTGGTTCGAATTCCAATAGCCCAATAATTCAATAAAATTTTATTGGTCATTGTCCAATGCCAACACTGGGGGTAGTTGTTGAAAATCTCCAACTGAAACCCATCGGGTGAAAACCCGTTGGTAACCAATTACCCAAAATTATTATTATGATCCGGTTGGACGGTTATAATATTAACCAATCATATTGCTAGCTTTGCTATACAAAATATTTGGCCATTTCGGTTCTTGCCCTTTTCAGCCATTGGCCGGCCAAATTGCCAAGTGATAACACTGTGTTAATAACTTTTAAATTATTAAATAAAAAATTAAACTTTAATTTATTAAATTGTTTAATTTATAAATTTATTAAATTTAAAAATAAATAAATTTGTATTTCCAACGAGGAGCAATCGTAAATGAGGAAGAAAAATAAAACTTCGGGCTTTCAATTTAGTATTTATTATTTACCAGATTTGACCTTTAAAAACTTGATAGTAAACATATTTGACACGTAATTACATACAATATCTACTATATTTTTCACGCAGATAATCAATGATAAACTTGAAAACCCAAAGTTTCATTTTCTCTTTGCAGAATTCAAATGATTTTCATACATTTTGGGTTCATACTTTTAATTATAAATTATCTCAGTTGTAACTTATTTTTATTATTTTATCTCATTACATATTATATCGTTCGTTCATTCGTGTTAATCAATACCGTCGTTAGTTACGTATTCTTACATATGGATTTTAATTCACCCTTCGGAAGAACCCTAGTCCCGGATCATTTTTGTTTGCAAAAATCGATCATCATGCGAATCGAGTTACCTTAACGATTAACGTCCAAATGTCCGTGCTTAACTACGCACGTACTATATAGTTAATTATAAAATTATTTAAACTAAAGTTTATAATAAACCGCATTTTGTCGTATAGTAAAATACGGTTTATTAATATCATGTAATCTATGGTCGAGCTCATTACAATTTACCTGCAGATTATCATAAATGAGAGATGCATGTTCAAATGATTGACCGGAGAATTCCGCGTTTTTTATGTTTATAATGATTTAATCGCTATTTATATTAATATAATAAAATAAACATCCTCTTGTTAGGCTGGCCCTAGCATAACACGCGTATATCAAACCCTATTTATGTAATGACTTCATTGGAAAGTGCCGATCAAAAGATCGGAGTCTAATATAAAAAATTAATACATATTTGGGTAATTATTTTTGAATTTATATATGATTTAATAATAATTTGGTCTGGATTCAAAAATATTTGTCCATTTATGCAATGCAGAAATCAATGTGGTACAGAGAAAAATGCATTTAAAAAAATAAGAAAGTGCATTTATAGAGGTCAAATATATATTTAACCAGAATTTGAGAGTGCATTGAGAGAGGTGCGCTTTCTATGTAATATGAAAAGGTTTTGCAAAATACATATATACAGTACATTCATTAATCTGTGGGGCATTTTCAATTTCCTGCGAGTACGTACGTATTCAAACAATCAATATCTATATAAGTCATGATCACTGATTTTGCAATGCATGTATGTAGATCACTTAAACTGAACTAGTAAGTACCCGAAAACCAATCCAAACCGACAGATATCGCAGTTTAAATCTAGGGTTAGGGTTAGGGTTAGGGTTATGAATTTTTTTTTTACATATTAACTAAAAAACAAAGTTAATAGGCTGATAGAGTACAAAATTCCGAGAATTAAATACCCAAAAGTCGTATATTTCTTATCGTATTTAGAGATGTCAATGGTTACAAATCGGTCATAACCGATCAGAAGCATATTATTAGATTTAATATGATTTGTTTGTTACAGGTTATTAATTAAACTTTATTCATGATAATTAATCACTATCATGATAAGTTTAATTAATAACTTTTGAGGAAAATTGACATTAAATATAGCAATTAATTTCTGATCGTTGTTAACTTGTACGTAATAGTTAGTTAAATGTGCTTGAGATTAGGGTAAGGGATAATATTATTATTAGCGTTACAATGTTCCACTACGTATCATAGTGGAGCTTCAAATATGCTGTGACATTGACATCGATCCAATGTAATCTATAACGATAACTGCACTATCGGTTTAGTTGGTTCGTAAAATTTCCTGGCTCGGTTCATGCAACTAGACTGAATTCATGTAATATTCTGATATTGCAAAATAAACTTAATTTTTTATTAAATTTATTACTGTGTAATTTTTTAAACAACGGATAAACTAATTAAGTTTAGTGCCATCCCTTTGAACTGCTTACTGCAGGTCATTTATCATCACTACCAATGTAACCGATAATTCAATCATAGGTCATTTATATCAATTAACAACATAAATCTTTCGATAGTTTTTTACGTAGTGTATATTTTTCATTAATCTATAAACAAATTTTGTAGTATATAAACATTTGATTGGTCATAGTACCCTGTTTTAAGTAAGTAATTCCTAAAAAAAGAAATTCCTTTATTCTATAAATGACAAAGTACGTACTTCGTTACAAAATTATGTATACAGGGAATAACATTATATATATCTATTTTTTTACCCTGTTAAAGACTTTTCCGAGGTATTTCAAACGTATTCTAATTAATTAATAATCGATATACAGTAAATGCATCTTATAAGGTCCAAAATTTTCAACGTGCATTTAGAGAACGATTAGAAAAGGTGCATTTAGTGCATTTGTAAAAGTCAAGCAAATATTTGGCTCAGAAGATTGTGGAGAGCGTTTAGAGAGGAGAGGGTTCATGGAAGGAGTTTTTAACTTATATTTTCGGAATTTAGTAAATTTTATTGTTAGTTTTTAAAGTGATACCTGGTCAGTTCTTTATTGATAGATTATTGTAAATATATTACATGTATAATACAGTATATACTAAACTATCTACAGAACTTGTGACTAGGCTAGCTTTACCCTCGGCCTAGACTTAATGATCGTTATCTTATTCATGTAATTAATATATATAGTATTGATTTACAAAATAATTGGGAATGAACCACTCACATTATTTTGGTCCATCTTTTTTTGGTTCTTTGTCTTAAATTTGTAGCAACTCCGATTACAAATTATATAATAAAGTTTATTGAACGTGGTTTATATAACGCGCGAAGTTGATCTTGGAAACTTTTTTGTTTTTTTGTTCATTTATCTATCGCCATTATTATTACATTATTATCTATTATTTTAAAAATATTATAATAGTTTTTTTTTGCGAATTCATATTCCCTAACGTAAATTTTATTATTCTGTAGCTCGCGGAATAGTTCACAGAATTTACAATTTATGTCTGGCTTTTTTGTTAATATGGGATCCAAACATTCCAAATATCCTAAATTAATACATAAGATTAACAAAGCTAGTGATGACAAAAGAAATAATGCTGAATGCCCTCAATTATCTAAACAAGATGACCTATACATAGATAGAATGCAAGTATTTCATCACGTCATGAGATGTGTTTGCAATGGGAACTTTGAAGTTCCATTAAATGAACAATTGAAAGAAGGTGGTGTTGTAGTATTAGATTTCTGGTGGGTTTATCCACAATTGAATGACATGTTAATATTTTCGTGAATGAGTATAATAAAATTTTATTTATCCTTAACGATTTGTATTTTTGTTAGCTGTGGCACAGGTAAATTATATTAACTTGGATTCAATTAATTTAACGTAATAATTTTAATATTTACGTAATTTTTGAAAAAAAATCAAGCAACTTGGCTATCTGAGATGGCCTCCGATTTTCAAAATTCGACCTTTGTAGGAATAGAAAAGGTCTCAATATACCCTGAACATAAACCAAAAAATGTTAGGATAGTTCAAGCAGATGTTTTAGAAACATTTCCGTTCCCAGGTACTAAAATAAAAACTTTCATATATGCTATGTATGTCTATAATTTTTATGGTAAATGCTAAAATTATATTTAAATTTGATTTTATCATAGATAATACGTTCGATTTCATTTATTCCCGACTAAATATCTTAGCATTCAGTGATACACAATGGAGAAATCATTTGATTAAAGGTAAATTATAAAAATTCTCGTTCATTACGTATGCAAATCTTTCTTAAAGACTAATCAATAAAAATATAAAGAATTTGTAAGAGTTCTTAAGCCTGGTGGTTACCTAGAGTGTATTGATGGTGATATGGTACCAGATCATTCCGGTGTTATTGTAGAACAATTGCATGATGCTAGTAAGTTTTTACATACTGTTTATTGTGACTGTTATTTGTCAGCATTATCAACCGTTTTTGTTTATTTAGTTGAAAAGACATTAATCCAGGCCGGTCGGAATCCTTCCCTTACTCAAAATTTTCATGAAGTTATAGAACCCCAACCGCAAATGAGTAAGGTCGCTCAAACTGAATTCTTCATGCCTATAGGACCGTGGGGAGGCAAAATAGGTATAAATGTAACTCAAAAATTTCCTAGTCTTATCATTAATATGAAAGAAACTCACTTCATTTTTGTTCTGCACTTTGTCCCAATTATCTTTATTCTTCTAAAAAGGTGAACTTGGTCTGTCTATAATGCTGCATATGATGTCAGGGTTAAAAAAAGGAATAATGCATTACATGAAACTTAATGAAAAAAGCTTGGAGCAACTTTGGGCTGACTATAAAACTGAAGTTAACACGCATCATACAAGATGGAAAATCATTAGATATATTTATCAGAAAAATTAATCTGTAATTAACGATTATAATTAATAAGATAACGAACATTATTCGATTATTAACGAGGAAAACCTTTCCTTTATATATATATATATATATATGTGAAATATAAAATTATGCATTGTAGCAATATTACTTTTTAAATTTCATATTTAACAGTTACGTTATTGTAAATATGATATATATCGATATATATTATTCATTAGATTAGATTAGATTTTCATTAAATAAAAGCAACAATGACGTATTACGATTTCCAAAGCTTATAGATCTCTCCTATAGAAAAATCGGCTTCAAAATTGTTCCCTAACGGGCCTGAGGTACCCGATTCTTAACTTGAGACCTTAGAAGACGGACATCAAGAATTTGATTAAAATGTTTCTGACGCCCGTTATGATCTCGATCGATTCTTGTAACCGATCTGTAGTCTTCTTTGCAGATAATGACGTTCACGTTCTTGCACTCCCTCGATTTATATTTGAGAAGCATCTTGAATAGATAACGCGAGATTAATCCCATTACCCTCCTAGTTTTCTTATTTAATTTCTTTTTGATACTAATTATACCTTGAGTTTCGACTATAGGCAACAAAATGGTATCATAAGAATTGCAAAGATATTTTGCAATCTTATAAATGACAATTATCTATGAATTATTTCTTCTTCAGATTCTAGACATTTTTATTCAGTGATGTATTTTTTTCTGCTTAAATTTTTTTTTCAATACAATGTATAAGCTCACTTTGAAATTTGAGTTTATATTTGAATTTTTTGGTAATGTTTAGGTTCAAATTTAATTCTTTTTTTATTACAATTATACAGTATCTAATAGAGATTTTACACAATAACATTCTTTTTTTTTTTTTTTTTTTTTTTTCTTCTTCTTATTTCTTGGTCTTATAGAGATACATATATACCTATAAATAGTTAAAAGTTAAATAAAAAAAAATTTTAAAAAAATTCAAATACCTTACAAGCTATCCACTAAATTAAGGTTAAATGTACTATATAATTTGAAAGTTATTGGGAAATATATACAGTATATAGTACGTATATAAATAACTATATATTCATGAATAAACGTACTTACAGATATTAGGTAATGAATGTATTTTCGCGTAATAACATCCACCTACGCTTATTTTGAGTGCATCATGAGAGTTATTTTCTGATCGTCCATCATAGGAAGGCATTTATGTAATTGACTAATCCTAAATGGATACGTATCATTCCGCCGACAATTATTTCGTAGACATCTCGTTTCACCGATAATCGATTCACCGACAAGTTCATTCACCTACAATTATTTCAGACATTTAGTTCACCGACATGTTTAATTCACCATGTTTAGTTCACCCATGTCGGACTAAATTGTCGGTGAACTAAACATGTCGGACTAAATTGTCGATGAACTTAATATGTCGGACTAAATTGTCGGTGAAATGAACTTTTCTGTGAATCGATTGAACAGGGGGAAACGTCGAACGTCATAAAATCGTTACACAATTGATAAAAAATTTTTTTATAATACTTTTTTGGAAGGCTCGTTTGACTTATCTTTTATATGAATATTGAAAATAATTAAACAAACATGAAGCTCTCA